TGCAGCTCACAATATAGGGACCACAAGCGCATTGATGTACTGTACAACATAACTCCATCACAGCATTCAAGCACGGGCCGAATGATTAAAGAAAACCACCCTGAATATACCCATTTCGCCAAATCTCACAAGCTAAGCCGAATTAAGCCTACGTAGTACTTGGATGGGAGACTTCCTGGGAACGAATAGGCCTGCTCGTTATTGTAGGCTTGGGCTGCCAGGTGCCTAGTAGATGGTAGAAGAACGACGGATTCTTGAATGAATTTGTACGGATATTTGAACGTTTTCCTCTCATATTTGGGTCGGGGGGGGGGTTATATCTTCTCTGGGTATTCCGGTTTTCCAACCACACGGTCTCACACTCATTCATGGGATGAACCACGCATCCCAATGTAGCAGGACAATTTTGACAGACGAAACATATCTTTTGCTGGATAAATAAATAACATTAATAACAAATGAATGCATTCTTAATGTGCCCCCCCCCCCACCTCTCATTACTTGGCGAATTGGTAGCACCTAAGTGGGAGAGGGGCGCGTTCATTGCGAGCTGCACCGGCGGTGATCCATTTATAGATAACGCCGCTGAATTTGAATAAGTAATGTAGGGCCCTTGTACATTTATTTTTTTATTTTTGTTTTGTCTATAACAGAGCAGCTATTATAGACAAAGTGTACCGAGAGAGTGTTGAGACTATTTAATAAGGGTTTTTAAAAATATTGATGTGAGAGACATGTAAAGGATTTCAAAATAAATGTTTTCCCTTCCGACTAATACAGCGTTGGAATGTCTCCCTATTATTAAAGTGTGGTAGCTGTAAATGGATCGGCCTTCATTCAGTCAACGGCAAAGCGCCCTCTGTTGTCCGATTCTAAACAATTATACGGTGATAGTAGCCGTCTCTTCTTCTTCTCCTCACAGTTAACAACTGCGTTGTGACGGAATGCCATATTCATATTTTGCACGTGATGGCTATAAGGTAGTACAGAGATGTTTAAGTTAACATTCTTATTATCACGACTGATCAGGGCAGCATTCGTGCGCGCGTATAACAAGCGCATAGGACATTTGCAATTTTTCACAATATCTCACGGGGTAATATTTTGGTATAATGCATAGAGGTAATACAATAACTCTACCATACCAGCGTATTGCGGCGTGGATAGCCGAGGTTTCTATTCACGATTCCGATTACTTTTGAGTGCTTTCGTTCAATTTGGCGACGCCGTGATTGGACACCGTGGGAATTCGTGGTCGTGCCGGGTTCCTGGACTGATTACGTTAATTAACTTAATTGTTATTAAACCACAGCGGCGACATTTGCCGCACGTGTTGCACGTTTACAGAAACCTCCGATTCGCACGTGCATACAGCCTGGCCCGCACGCACACACACAAAGACACCCCGTATCGCCTGCAACAGATTGCTGGGGCAAGCGGTGTTTGCGAGTACCCATTAAGGCACGGCACGACACATAACGGAGTGGGCAAGTAGCCAGCACCAAGTTCGACACACACACACATGCAGACACTATCAGAGGGGTGTTAATTTCTCATTGACTATTTTTTTGCGGGATTCTCCACAACCCCCGGGAGATAATTTATTTTCAGACGCTTAGACCCGGACGGCTCAAATTGAACCCTAGATGTGATTGCATTGGTGACGCGTCCGAGTGTGCACGCGTGTGCCACGAAAGCGTTCGATGGGTCTAATACACGAGCAGAGTGGCCAGCCCTTCGTTATGCGCAGACTCCTAATCACATGATAACATAATAGGGTTTTTTTGTTAGATCGCGTTCTAACCCAACCGCCCCCCACCCCCTCTCTATTATGGATAATATTGGTCGCGAAAGTCCAGGTGTTAAACCGCATGAGAACAATCGACCCGTTGATTGATTTAAGCCATTTATTTAAGCCCGGTTGAGATGCCCGTGGACATGAAGTGCCTCTCTTATGCGTGGGCGACAGAGGCTGGCATAACACCGATGCTGTTTTTGTTCTTGTGCTGATGCACCACGGATATCCCCAACAATCGAGCTGGGTAACCGGCTAAACGGGATTTTCCGTGCAACTACTAAACACTGAATTGAATTTCCCGATGGAGGCGTTAAACGCGACGCGATATAATTGCCGTGCGTGGCTGTAAACAGCTGTGCAACAATTCATGGATTGCGTGGAATTCAATAAACACGATGAGTGGAGGGAACGGTGGCGCTGCGGTGAGCGCGCTGCGCTGCTAACCCGGGTTCGACTCCCCGCTCGGGCAAACATCAGTGGCGAGTGATATCTGAACCGGTCCTTTCACCAACACCCGCACTGACCAGCATGGTGAAGTATGGTCAAACAACCCCGATGACACGACACGCCGTGGGAAGGCTTTCATCCAGCAGTGGATTAACAAAGAATACGGTTATTATCAATTAGTTAAGATACGAACATGCCATTTACGTGTCATAAAATCACAGCCGCAAACCCAGAAGTAATATACTGTATCCCTAAAGGCGTATTCAATAGGGCAACGTTGAAAACAAAGTTAATATGGAGCAATTAAGTCACAATCTTATCAACTTGCGGAATTCTCACGCAAGATAAGGGGCATAATAATTAATGCGGGTTAAATGATCTCGTTCAGCCACCCCCACCCCTACTACGTACCCGTTCACTGCCCAGCCAACCAACCTTAACACAATGCACACGTGCTCGGGGCAAAAGCACACGACCACCGATATTAGATCTCTTAATGGAAACTTGCTGTTAGCGTGCACGCAGCACACACATTCACACACGGGGGCGCGGGGGGGGCTTAGAGGTTCGCATCACAATCACCGCCAGTCTCTCTCGTCTCGACGTGCACAGCACAAAGACGACACACAACCCCGTCGTTGCACGGATGGACAGCGATGCACGCACACACGCGCGCACACACCCTTACCTTCAGCGCATTCCCATTACGATCCGGAGGGAGGGGTCCTGGTCAGTGTGTATATGTTGCGGCACCTTTTTTTGTCAATCCACTGCTGGATGAAGGCCCTCCCGAAGCCGTACGGGTTGTGTGGTGAGGAGGGGGGGGGGTTGTTATTTGGCCATACTTCACCACGTCTGGCAGTTTGGGTTGATGGAGCCCGGTTGCTATAGACTCTGTTCCTTGTGACAGCTACATTTGACGTGCACACGAGCGGCTCGGAACAATGACATCACCTGCTTGCAAATGAATATCGCAGTACGTACTGCGCGCTGGGCTGGGCTGACTTGCAGTACAACCACCCCCTTCACCACTGCACCCACCCACACCAACCGCCCTCCACAAACATTGCACGCAAGCAGTGTATTAGTAGTAGCAGCATCAATTGCAGTGCGCATATCTGTGTGTGTGTAGAGAAAACGCCATTCCTAGCTGCTGCGCTGCTTTCCTTACGACATTGCCTGCCGACCTCCAGCAAACACAGAGGCACGCGCATAAATCTTATATATATAGATGAATCAACCAACCAATGAAGAGCTCGCTATTGTAAACATCCAGTTCACACTCAAGAAGATAGCAATGACAGTAGCAGCAGCAGCAGCAACAAAAGAAGGCCCTTCGTACGCCGTGACGGTGAAAACCACACGGGGCATTGGGAAGATTGAACTCGAGCCCTAAGAGTCGCACATGCGCAAATCCAGCCGCGGCTCTGGGCTGGTCCACGCATTCTCTCTCTCACTTGCGGTGTGTGCATCGTGATACAAGCCCCGTGGTGTAGAGCTGAGCCAACAGCGGCAGAAGCAGCAGCACAGCTTACCAATATCACACACACAGCAGCAGCAGGAGTAGCAGCAAGAGCAGCTATACTGACAAATATTTCAAAAACACATCAGCAAGAGCAGCTATACTGACAACTATTTAAAGAAACACATCAGCAAGCGCAGCTATACTGACAACTATTTAAAGAAACACAGCAGCAAGAGCAGCTATATTATACTGACATTAAAAAAACAGCAGTAAGAGAAGCTATACTGCCATGTGAATTTCACACACACCAACAGTACCCACACAGCAATGTGCTATTTATCAATGTACCGTATACTGGTTGAAATAAATAGCACATATCCAATAATATATACCATACAGCGACATAGACGACATATAACACACAGGTAGGCACGCATAAATATATACAAAACATATACAGTGTATATTAAATACAGAAATATATACTGTACTGTGTAAAACACACACACATAGCACATACACAGCGGTTAATACTATACAGCAAACATGTATTACGCACACATATCAACAGCACATCTACGGCAATATATACCATACATCAATGTATACAGCAGAGTATAAACTGTAAACGGGTAGGCGACACACGTTAATGAATACCCCATATTAACAACACTGCAATATACAGCATACGGCAGTGTACGCTTCATAACACATAGGCAGACATCCAGGCAGTCACACAGCAAGCAGAGGATGGTGTATGGGGTGTCACGGGGCAGAGGCGGGGCACACACCAATATATTATACCTTACAACAATTACATGATATAGACCTGTTAACACACGGCATTATATTACCATGCTGTAAATACACTACATCTGTGATCCACGTGGACAGGCAGGCGAAAAGCAAGCACATGTGATGGTGTATGGGTTGTCACACACACACACAGAGGCATACACACAGCAATTAAATAACGATAGATGTAATGCACACATGAAGCAGGGGATATACATGGGTTGTCACAGGGGCAGCCAGGGACAGGCACACAGCAATAATTTATCGTGTGTGTGCTGTCACAAAGGCATCAATACAGTCTCTCTCTCTCTCACGTACAAGGCAGGCACACATGAAGCAGAGACTGGCGTTTGTTGTCAAGCAGCGAGATGGGCTGGCATAGGGGCAAACAGACAGGCAGGTGAGGCATCATACAGCGGGCAAGCCAGCAGCTAGGGATGATGGTGGTGGTGGTGTTTGTGTTGTTGCGGTGCACGCTGCGTTGTAGCTACTCACAGCTCAGAGGCTTCGGGTTCCGCTGTTTGGTCCGGGGCATCGCTGCTGCTGCTGCTGTGATGAGCCGCTCGCTCGCATCTACGCGCAAGCAGCTCCGCTCTCTCTCCTCCCTCGCGAGAGCTGCCGCCGCATTAATTGTGCCTTCATATTTACCCACTACTCACATAATCATCGTGATAGCAATAATAACAATGGTATTACTGTGCGTGGATTCTGTTTTTATTTCACACGTACCGCTCATATATATATTTTTCTCTGTTATTCATTACATCGCAATCGGATGGAGGCGCGTTACAGGCAGAAGACAACCACCCATTGTTGGTTTCGCCCGTCCAAAGATAACGGTGATAACGCGGTAATGATTGCAATGGTTACTGTTATTCTAACGGTGCTGCTGATGACGATGGTGATAAGGAAGATGCTGTTGCTGCTGCTGTGCCTGCAGCAGTAACATGTCTCGATTGCGGAGTGACAAAAATGAGAACGCGCTTATTCCTCAACGCTTGTTGCATTGTGCTGTGCGCATACGACGAAGCAAGAAGCATATGATGATGATGATGCTGATGATGGTTTGGCAGATGATGATGACGACGACGACGACGCTGGAGGTGATGATTCTAATAATGATGATGATGATGCTGGAGATGATGGTGATCCTCCTCCTCCTGCTGCTGCTGTAGTAGTTTGGTGGTGGTGGTGACGATACAGATGACGCTTAGACGGCTGCTCGCCGCCAGGCTGTCCGAGCTGCATTCCCGTGCCAGGGATTTCCATCGGAGCAGATGCAGCGCGGGCATGACGTCATCGGAACTCCCTCTCAGCTCGGCTCTCGGAAGGCTGCTCAGGAAATCCCCGCGGGAATGGGAAGGGGAGGGCGAGGAGGGCTCCCTCCCTCCCTCCCTCTGAGTCTCACTCGCCTCCAACAACACCCCCCCCCCCTCCTCCATCACCAACCTCTCCTCGTCTCTGCTGCTCTCTACCGCACGCAGCTAAACAAAAAAAATGTTTTTGTGATTCGTTTGCTGTCCGATCACCACGGATGGCTACTACGTACGGTGCGAAATAAGGGCAATATACAGATACATATGGGCGCCACTGGACCGATATGGTGACTTCCTCGCCTGGTATGAAGGAGATCGTGGGTTCGATCCTGACCCTGACGCCTGCTGTGTATTTGGAGTTTGCGTGCCTCTCTCCCCGTGGTCGCGTGGATTTTTCTCCGGGACTGACCGCCGGTTTTCCCCTCCACATTTTGAAACACGCGTTTCGAGTATTTGGCTGCTATACATTTCCACATGATAAGCCACTTCCTTGAACTATCATTTGTGGCCAGGTGGCTTCTAAGAAAGCGACATAGCTCAGTGGACCGTACCTGGTAAAATAAAAACATGTTCTTAGTTTATATACAGGACAGATATATGAAAACGATGTATTTTCCACCATGACAACACTCTGACCAAGTGTTAAACGCTAAAGGGAATGAAAGATGACAGCATCTATTTGAGTCCATCTTGCCCTCTGTTCTGCCCCGTGTGCACATGTGGAAAGACTGCGACGTCCATGGATTTAATTGTACTCACGTCCAACCCCTAGTATTGCTGCCCAGTTTGTACTTGTGTGTAGTTACCCCTCTCGTGGCTGCGGGCAAGCGGATGAGCGTACGCTAATTCACTGAACTTATGCAGACACGAACCGTTTGGACGTTCTCTGAACTGCTTAAATTAAACTCCTGGAGGATCGATAACCATTTCATTAATTTACTTTCAGTAATCTACTGCTGAATCAAGGACACGTGAATCATTGGTCATTTAGAGTTATTTAACCATACTTCATCACGCTGGTCAGTGCGTTGTTTTGGTCAAGGTGGGCAGGACCGCTTCACATATCACTGGCCGCTGACTGTGGCCAGAAATCGGTGGAGAGCTGATCAGGTAGCCAGAAAAGTGTGTGAACCACTTCGCGACTGCTTTCGCCCAATATAATTCATGCCAATTTGCTAAATCTATCCCTCCTGTGCCATGCATGCCATACAGACTATCCCACGTGTTCTGGTCATTAACAAAAGGTGGCGTGACATCGCAGTGAAATGTTTCGTGTGAATCTCTGCATGGAGATTGTATGAGAAGTGGTTTGTGCTGTAATTCGATGATTCCACTGGGCACGTGAGGCTGCCCAAACCGACCCTGACGAGGTGGCGTGCCATCAAAGTGGATGGTTGTATAAAACCCCTTAAGCGCTTTGTTTTTACCTTTCAAATTACAAACTAATCAAAAAAGCCAACTTTGTGTTTTATGTCACCGCGCCGACGTGTTCTGCACAGAGTGTGGGTGGATCATTTTGGATAAGTATCACAGCTGTTTTCTGTGTCCACAGTCGATGCTTGTTATATGTTGAGGTTGTGTTTGTTTCCGTGAAGTGCTTGGAACTGAATTGTTCATCCCTCTTCTGGCCATGAATAAGAGTCCATTATAACGGAGTGTCTCTTCATACAAGTCGTTGCTTTTCTCAAAACGGAAAAAGGTTACGTTTGACAGAAATCTCTGATACTAAAACTGCTCATGTTGCCCGTTGTGTGCAAAGATGACATTTTCTAAGACAATTTGTTGGAAGGACGTGATAAACCATTTCGGTTCTTGATTGATTGTGTTTTCCGGTGACTTTCAGACCGCAGTCCATTCCCTGGCATTGCCTCTTAGTACCTTTCACGCGACGGTCAATGGTATGGTTTATAGCAGATTGTATAATAATAAATAGTATAACAGTGTAATGTTTAATATAATTTATAAGGTAATATATAGTATAGTAATTGTATAGTGAATAAACAGCAGTGTGGTATACAGTAGGGTTGGTAGAATAATACATAGTGTAATATTACAAGTCTAATATTATTATAGTCTAAACTCTAAAGTATAGGGTAGTGTATAGTAAAGCAGTGTATAATTCAATGTTGGGGTCTGCCTATGGCAGTTTATAATACGGGGTATAGTCGTGAGATGTAAGAAAAAAGATTAGTTGGAGGCATATTAATAATAATTTTTGTGACATAGAAGTGTAATGTATAATGACTTATTGTTCATAGCTCAGCTTATTGGAGAGTATATTGAGTATCGATTTAAAGCTTTCGTGACTGCAAGGATTCATCTTCTTTGGTTCTTTCGGTAAAGTCACGTAGAATGAGAATAAAATAATAAAATAAAATAAGACAATAAAATTCTCACGACGTTTCGGACACACCACAAGTAGCCTTCTTCAGGTGAAAGAACAGAACTGTCGGGACGACAGAGCTTGAATGAACGCTGTTAAGATTCATAGCGTCTTTTAAGCTCAGTGCGAGGCGTGGAGAGCCTTGACAAAGGAGGTTACCTATCAAAGCAGGAGAATTTAGCATTGAAATAGCTGAGGGATTAGCTTGTGACAGAAATAGCTGTGTTAAAGTCAAAGTTTACATATCAACAGAGGCATTTATTTAATGGACGGTAAAGGCCTCCAACTACCAACTATCATAAAGTAAACCGATGTGAAAAAACTAAAGCTATATTACATCAATATAATAAATGTACTTAATATATTCTTCAATAAGCTGAGCTATTAATCACAAAGCAACTGGGTATACACTACACTATATAATGAATACCATATAGTAAACCAATAAAAAACAAAATATAAGCTCCCTCAATGTTATCAATAAACTCTATATACTCTCCAATCAGCTGAGCCACCAACAATAAGTCGTTAAATATCAATGCCATATAGCGAAACATGGTGTTTTTTTCCTTCCCCTCAACGCCAGCACCACGGACAGCGACGTTCAGGCAGACTAGTCAATCCATGCTCGGAACGGAGGAGGGGGGAGAGGGAAATAACTACAATGCGCTGTTATACTCCATGTTATAAACCATACCATTAACCGTGGTGCGAGAGGTATTAAGAGGCAATGCCAGCGAAAGAACTGTGGTCTGACGGTCACCGTAAAATACAATTAATTAAGAACCAAAATGGTTTAAAACATCTTTCCAATGGTTACTAAGCCAGAATCCATCTTCTCGGTTGATATTGTCTCTGTGCTTGTATATGTGGATGGCCTCATGAACGAATCTCTCATGGTAGCCAGTTGGCTGTTTGTGTTACAGTCGAAACGTCGTGAGAATTTTATTTTATTACGTTTTCTTTTATTATTTTATTATTTCCCTTCTACGTGACTTTACCAAAAGCATCAAGAAGAAAAAAAAGTTTGTTGTTTGTAAATGCTAGCAGGTCCAGCATAGTGCCCGTGTCATTTCGTATTCTAACAAGGCTTTACCAAGGGAACATGCAGCAGTTGTTTCCAGGTAAATTATTTCCGATTTAAAGGGGTTTTATAAAACCAATCTAGCATGCAGTAGTGAGGAACCATGATCAGATATTCTCTTTCAGAATATTTAGATTAAACCCCACATGATTATAAACACACGTGGAAGGCTGCACACCACCTAAATGACATTGGCTACTGCAGATCAATGTTTCATAATAATCAAAAGATTGATTAGCTAAAGCACCTTCCCTTAAGCGATGATTGTGTATTGAAGTCATCTCTGATGCGAGGGTTATTTGTTTTGTAATCATTTTTTAATGTGTCTTCATCACAGCAGGCTTAACATTTTCAATTAACCTGTTGCAGTATTTTTCTATGCTGTTTTCCCCAGTGTTTTATGCATGTCCATAATCCAGTAAAGAGAGTGACGTTTACACATTTAATAAATCCACTCCGTTTATAACAAATTATTTCGTGAGACAATTGAGACTGAATGAGTGTGCATTATCGTGATACTTTAATAAATATTTAGTGAGTCCAACTGAGTCGCAGACGTTGTTCTTCAGAGGCAACACATTTATCACACAACACGTATATACAAAAGGGGTAACTGCCCCTTTACCAGATACAGCCAAGGGTGGTGACCACCCAGCTAACTACACTACCATACAGGAGCTATGGCTACGACGGACCGGACCCCCACTTGGGTCCCGGGCCACGTGTTGGTGCCTCTTCAGACTTGGAACGTGGAGCTTCCAGCTTGCGGAACGAAGCGACCCCGGTCTCTGTCAGGGACCCACCTTATATCCTCCCGGGCCGGCTCCGCCCTCGGCCCCGCCCACCTTCGCGAGCGTTCCAGCTCTCTCTCGATCCCTCTCGAGAGCTTTGCCCGGACACGTGATTAAACCCCCCCCCACCACCTGAAGGCCTCCCTATGGACACTCCAGATCACGTGCCTACGGGGTCAACCAGAGTGCCATAGCCCGGGGCAACCCTTGCCCCTGGGCTGACATTCTCCCACTCCCCCTTGTGGGAGCCCGCACTGCACGCCATGCGTGGCGCCCTCGCTATCCCAGCGCTCACCAAGCCCCGCTAGGGCTGGTACCACTCCCGCCTACGGGGTGTACGCGTTGACGGCGCATCGCACGCCGTGCTCTGCTAGGGTAGGCCTCGCTCAGCAACACACACGGTGCTGTCCGCGATGTAGAGACATCGCACGCCACAGCCCTCCAGGGCCGGCACCACACAGTGACATACCCAATGTCACTACACATATATAGTGCACACAGCAGTAAAGTAAACCAACGGCACACATTCGCTCCCTGCTTAGCCAACCGTGCTAATTGGAGGTTTCCAGAAGGACCGAGGTTGATTTTTCTATAGAGGCGTTATTTTTAAATGCATACTTTACAGTATTCACACATGTTATTGCAGCGATGGTTTTGTCAATGAAATATGTGAAGGAGAAATGGATAGGAGATAACGGTACTTTACTTACAAAGAGGATTGACATCTTCTCTGACATTGATTGAGTCAGTGATCCAGATGAGTGTACGCCTCAAGAATAATCGTCAACCTCGGGTTTCACTATTTCACACTGACGAGTGAAATAGTGAAAACTCTGTTAAAAGTTCAAAACGTCATTCACCAACGTGGTTATTTGTACTCTTTGTTTTTCTTTCGGTAAAGTCACATAGGTAGAAAAATAATAGATCACGACGTTTCCATCGCAACACAAGCAATCGTCATCAGGTGGAACAGATACAGCAGACATGTCAGTAGTTCTCCTGCTGTATCTGTTCCACCTGAAGACGATTGCTTGTGTTGCGATCGAAACGTCGTGATCTATTATTTTTCTACCTACGTGACTTTACCGAAAGAACCAAAGAGTATTGATTCCTGCAGTCACGAAAGCTTCAAATCAATACTGCAATTTAGTCACTGTAGATCAGTGTTCGTCACTCCAAGGCCCGACAATAAACAACACGTGACAACACCCCCCCCCCCCATCATCAACATCGTGCTGCTGTCAACCCCCCCAATTGTTTCAAATGTGTGGCAGCCCTCACACCGGTGTCTTATTGGGCAAAAGTGCCCCCCTTAAAAAAAACTAGTGCAGAACACTGCTGTAGATGTTTTCCTGTATTATACTTGTCCCCCCCCCAATAAAATGGTTGTTACTTTGCACGTGTTACTAGATGCATGTTCCGAGTCACCTATCTCACGTGATCACATTGTCCTTGGCACCACATCCTGCCGTGTAAATAGGAATTGTCATAGGTTCTGACCTTTGCGTTAGAAACTCTGTTGGACACTTTGATCTGGTGTGGCACAATTGGAGGGTCGCACTTTACAAATTATACTGAGTTTGGTTGAAGGATCTGTGTGTGTACATCATTTCTGTCAAACACTGGATAAGGCCCTCCCCACACTGGGAAACGCGAGGGTTTTTTAGCCATACTTCACTACGTTGGCCAGTGAAGGTGGGGGAGTCTAGGTGTTGGGGCATAGGTAAAGTACAATGGATAATCTGACACTGCACCTTGCTGACAATGTAGCTCCGTTGTATGTGCACAGTTGTGTAATACTAACAAGGTATTTTCAAGTGGCATAGTGCATTTGTTACGAAGCCAGTCGGTACATACAAATAGAGGAATGCAACATTTTATTGATAGTAATGAAAAACAATGTTGGGCTTTATTCCATCAAACATTTCAAATTCTTACCATATACAATAAAAAAAATATTTCTGATACTATCGTGTTGGCTATGGTAATGTGATTCAGTGTGCATTGTTGGAATGATGTGTCCCTGCAGTCCATTGTGTTGCACACACGTGGTTGTGTGGTTACTGTTGCCTCCTCGTCCATTGCTTTATCGTTACCAGCAGATATTGATTGCTGATTATAAAAGCTGGTTAGCCTTTGTATTCATCTTCCTTGATTATTTTCTCCGCAACTTTTAGGAATAGAAAAAAATATAATTATTGTATTTATTACATTACACCAATGAGCTTTCGGTCTCATTTTCCACCACTTGCATTCATAACGTCTTAATCCAGCATAGAGAATGTGAATGTTTTAATACAGGTTCATTGAAATGTGAAAAGACAGCAGTTGTTGATGGTGTAAATGTTAACGACGTGGCGTTCTAAAATTCACTCACCCCAAAATAGATTGTTTAACTTCTTTCCCAGGATGTAAAATCCAATCAAAAGCATGAAGGAAGAAGAGAAAAATATGACCCTGGATTCGAAGCTCATTTCATTCAGAAATGGGTACGCCCAGATGCCAGAATAATATTTAACCCAGAGAATCCTGAAAATAAAGTGCATCAGATTGTTTAGGAGATGTTATACTTATTACATGTAAAATGAACATACACATGCATTCGGGACATTTGCTATACCCCTAGAGTCATTGTGGATTAATAGAAATCTGCCGAGCAAAGTTACAACGAAATACTCGTTTAATGTCTATCCAAAGTGCTGTGCAGTCAGGACATGTCTGCAGTCAGGATTGGTTTCATCAGTCAAATCCAAACCCATTCACTTTCCATTCAATCGTTTTGCACTCGCCAGGAACCATAATTATTATTTCCATGTGATGGCCATTACATTTGTATATTTGATTATGTTCATTTATGCATTGAGGTGTGTTTTGACGTTAGAACTGTCACGGCACATTTCATTTTGAACTCGTGAAACAATATACATTCTTAAAATGCGACTTGTGGCCATAAAATGTGTTGCGTTTGGTCACCATGCTCTTGGTAGGTCTGCCTGCTACAGTAAGTGTACATGTTAAATTGGTGAAATCACCAATCATTTTAAATATCCCTAACAACACTTACCATGACACATAGGCGATGAAGAAAGCAGCAAGAGTTGCAATGCCTGCATTCTTGGAAGGGTACACGTGTCGTGTTGCATACATCTCTACCAGCAATATTGGTACAATGGTGGTGTGCTGTGAAATAAAGGGACAGCTTTTAACATTGCTGTTCATTGTGGACAAACACCTCTGAGTAAATATTGGAAACTATACTTGTAGGTACACATGTGCTTATAAATGCGATCTAATTGTAGGTTATGATTTTGTGGCAAAACCCACACGAGCAGATAAAAGGCACATTTATTGAGTTTTACACAATGATTCACTGAGGTGTATTACAGTAACATCTAAGTACTGTTAGCAGCAAAGGCCGACTGCGTTCAGTATATCTCCAATTAGCATAGTTGGCTACGTACGGTGGGAAAGAAGTTAAATATACATCTTAAGTCAAAATCTCAGCACATTACCATCGCGTGATTGTGCCACTGCTGTACGACAACGTTCAGTTTCTTCGGGTACACCAGTTTATGTTCGTTGCCATAAATTGTCCAGATTGAGGTCATTACAAACTGGTAAAAAAAAAGAACAACCGTGAGGGTATTCACATATTTTTGAGTTTCACAACAGTAAGTGTTAAACCTCAGAGGGAGAAATACGCGGTGCCTCTTAACTCACCACTGCCAGAGGGAATGCCAGGGTGGCAAATATGTTGTCTCGAAGTTGCGTCAATGTTTGCAAGACCTTTCCCTTGTTTTCCTTTCCTTTTCCTTGGATGAGTGCCAAAATATCGACCGACACGCAAAGACCAAAGTAGACCAACTGGAGAATCTGTGATATTAGAAACACAGCATTGTAATATTTGCAATACAAATTAATATATTTTTTACATCATTATACAAAAGCCAAAATATGGGATGTCTTTCACGTACGTTTTCTGAAATGTTTTCTTAAATTCACATCCGAAATAAAGAGGTGGACGAATGTTCAAACCATGCGATGCTTAAAATGTCACCAACAACGTATTTTTTTCACGAGGACATTGTATTATTATAATGGGACTAATCTAAATCTATCACACAATTACTCTAGATGCAAATTGCTATACTTTTGCCAAGCAGATGTTCAAGTCTCGCCCATTGATTTACTCCTTTGAGGAGTTTTACTACTTAACTGCTCACCAAACGAATTGGTGCCTCAAACACCCTTCTCACTCAAAAACGGTGAATAAATCTAACTTGCAAAAATGTTCAGATACAGGAGTACAGTTCCCCATTATACATTAATTCGATTAACGATGATCCATTATTACATTCGTTATAAAGTAACACCTTTTGTTGTTTGACGTCTTGTTTCGTGATTACGTTTTTGTTTTATTACAAATATTTATTTGGTGGAAAAACACTAAAATACCTTTAGTAAAATGCACATTATGTCGTTTGTCTGTGCGTGCATGCATTTTATAGTGTTCCAGGCCGTTTTGGCTGGCCGTCGCGTTTCATAGCATCACCGGTTGCTTACAAGCCACGTAGTTGATACTCCTGTGCGTTCCACCAACGCTTTGGACTGAATGTTATTCCCCAACAGGGGGAAGCAAAACGCTCCTTGTGCCCCTCTCTTACCTTGCCAGTAACAACCTCCACCTCTCAACACCGAGCCGCAGTGCAACCTCAAACGATGTGCATGTGAAAATATTCTTAGTTGGTTTGAAAAGTGCTTGAGTAGTTTTTGGGTGGCTAAATATTTTCTTAAGTTGAATGTTGTGTTATAATGTTGTAGAGGAGTAATATGGGGACGTGACATCATGCGCGCTGGGCGGTGCGATGACGTCATGTCTCCTCGTGGTACTTAAGGGGGATCCCCCGAGAACGAAAGCGGGTCGTTGCGGGAGCCCGGGATGGAGAGAGGTTGAAGAGGCAGCCAGGGGCAGAGCTCAGGGAGTCTGGAGAGAAGCCGGCTGAAGCTGTGGAAGGTGCTGCTCTCCCCGGTCGGTCGGTGTTGGCTGATCCCCCGATCCGACTCGAGGGAGAGAGCCCAAGATCTAGCCGAGCTAGGGACAGACAGAGCCGAGGGTCCACGTGAAGGACCCAGTGTAGGGCACCTAGCCCTGGTGGAAGTTATCACAACACCCTATTAATAAACTGGCGCAAGCCCTTACCTGAAGACCTGCCTCCTCGTCATCATTTGCACCACAACAATCTTACGGGAAAGTACGTTTCAATATACTATATTTCACTTTATGTACATGTTTTGAAGAACGCAGCTCAGACGTATATCGAGGTATCCTCATATATATCATGGTAAACAGAATAATGGATGTTTAGTAGCCAGGAGCAAGAAGGGTTTTGGAAAGGTTTCAAAACTATCGACCACAAGCATGAAAAACAGGAAAAATACCAGAACATTGTTCGAATGTAATGTCTACTTTGGTTGGCATATAAAAAAAATATCTATACTTAGCACTTTATAATGGCCACACGTCAGTTTAAAGGTTAAGAATTGTTTTCCAGTGACTAAACAATGGGTACAGATAGTTTTTTTTAAAGTGATATCTTCAAAAAATAAAGTAATAATTCTGTTATATTTGAAACACATAATTATTTATATATAGTGTGATGCCCTCCTCACCCCAATGCGTGCAGTTACTACTATGCAGTCGATAGATGCTACCACTATAGGCCGAGCGGGCGGCGAGATCGTGCCGGGGGGGGGGGGGAGTCAGGGGTAGCAGCCCAGCCTGCCAAGGTGTCACCTCGGCCGGCTGGGCAATCTAGGTGAGGCCGGAGGCTCTACACGGGACTAGGCCTCACCACGCCACTGTCAGGTGAGTACTTTGTGCTATAGAGTCGATAAATACTGCTAGAGAGTCAGCATATACTACTGTAGTGATAGCAGGTACCACCACAGTCGGTATGCACTGCTGTAATCATAGCAGGTACTACCAGTCAGTACGCACTGCTGTTATAATATCATTTACCACCACAGTAAGTATGCACTGCTGTAATCATAGCACGTACCGCCAAAGTATGCACTGCCATAATCATAGCTGGTACCACCACAGTCGGTATGCTTTGCTGTAGTGATAGTACATACTACTATGGAGTTGGTAGATACTGCTATATACAGTTAGTCGATACTAAAACAGTCAGCATATACCACTACGGTCAGTAAATACTGCTACAGTCAGTACATATTACTATACAGTCAGTAGATACTATGGTCAGTAGCTACTGCTATAGCGTCAGTAGGTACTACTATAGAGTCATTAGTTACTGCTATACAGTTAGTAGTTACTAATACAGTCAGTAGATAGTACTGTAGGCCCAGTGGATACTACTACGGTCATTAGTTACTGCTATAGAGTCGGTAGATAGTGCTGTAGGCCCAGTGGATACTACTACGCTCAGTAGTTGCTACTGCATTGAGTAGATAGTACTGTAGGCCCAGTGGATACTACTAATGCTCAGTAGTTGCTACAGTCAGTAAAAACTACTATACAGTCAGTAGCTACTACTGGCTCGGTAGATACTACTGTAAGTCAGTTTATTCAACTACAGAGTAAATAAATACTACTTACTTTGTTGTATGGAGGATGTGTACGTATATAGGCCTACGAGGGGGTAAATATTTTTCTTAGGGGGAAGGGGCGACAATTTTCGATAACCTTTAAATCAACTATTTACCCTCCACTTCAACTAAATCAACTATTTACCCTCCACTTTCTATACCTTTTGGGACTTCTGCAAGCTTCTTATTATTTTGTTTGTGGATAAATGGACAAACGGCCCTCCGGACTTTCACATTTGCTTGCTTTTTGTCTATGTATATGTTAGATTTTTAAGAGTAGTTTTGAAATATATATTTTTTGCCCGATCAACGCGGGGTACTTCCCGCTAGTACATTATAAAGTGGGTAAAACTTGACGGGGAGGATCCGTGGTGCTGCAGTCAATGAATGCACCACAACCACCGCCAGTCGTCACCACGTTCCTTGTGCCAGGCTAGGTGCACTTCCGAGGCCACGTGGAAGTGTGGAGGGCTCTCTTGCTGACAGTTTCACGGGACAGATCCTGGTGCCCGTGGCTCCATTGAGACGACTTGCAGATGCGCCACCTGTTGCTCCCTCCTGTGAATGATTGCACCTCAAAGACAAAGACCCCCCCGTTTAACCTTTCACGGACTGTTGGGGCAAGTTTTCTGTTGGCAAGTAGAACCTGTGAAGGCCGGCACGGCACACGAGCGGGTGGGTGGCCAACACCACCCACGGCCGCCTTTGTCTCCCCAGTGGCGATGTTTTATTTTCGACCTAGGGGAGGCCCATGACCGTTTCAGATGATAATCGTCGTTTGTGATGGTGACGGTGAGCGAGAATCGAACTCGGGACACCGGGTTCGTAGCGCAGCCCGATAATCACTACACACTCCTGCACTTTACACAAAGACCCCCCCTCTATATAGCCTAAACAGCCTCTCTCGGTGTCGTGGGGGAAGGGGGGGGGCACGTGCTTGTGCGCGAGTGACACCTGTGAAAGCCACACACACACGGACGGACACACGGACACGCTCACCAAGTCGATGAAGGTCAGGTACTTCCAGTGGCCTCCGTAGCTCAGCGAGCCGGGCAGCGTGGCGGCGTTGTCCACGTGGAGGCTCACGGTGGTGCCGTACCACGCCGTGGCGGCTGCGTGCAGCGCCAGCAGCCCCGTGGTGCTCGAGCGGCCAACCATGTGGATTCCTCTTCGTCTTCTTCTTGTTCCTCCTCCTCTTCGTCTTCTTGTTCCTCCTCTTCGTCTTCTTCTTCTTGTTCCTCCTCTTCGTCTTCTTGTTCACTGCTTCCTGGGTGCTCGGTTGAAAATATCAAAGAGCAGCTGACACGATTGATCCCACGCCACCCTAATGCGTAACTAGGGATGTACCATGTTCGGATTTTTTGTTTAAAGATCATTTTAGACCCCGGGTTTGTTCGCCACGTGTAAGTGTAAATTGATCGCTCTGCTTTGCATACTTTTGGGTTTTTTTTTAAAGTATATGGTGCGTTCTATGAGCCTAGTATTTTTTTTTGTCATGTTAATGAACGACCCTTGCCATTTGAAACATGCATGTTGTTGATGTTGCTGCGAACAGGTTTCTATGGTATGACCAGGTCCCTCACCCCCCATAGAAAATGAGCATTGCCCAATGGGTTTTACCTGTGCCAACGTAAACCTATAAACTCAAATCTCACTTCCTTCTCGGTACGGGATGGTTGTTTACTGAGCATCTGAGCAAAAGTGCGTTGAAGCTCATCGGATTCAACCAGTATTGATACAGATTATGTTTTGTTTTGATCAGCACCAGGATACGGTAGTCATTGAGCCTATGAATTGTATTGTGTTAAACATTACTCTTCTTAAATGTCAGCGGATGGGGGAAGAAATATATGTTGACACTGTACTAATAAACCCCTGACCCTCCTACCAATTGACATTAGTGAAGCAGACGATAGTGATTCAGCTACATTCGCAAGTAAACCATAGTGAACGTAAGCACAATGCACAATTTTAATATATTGTAAAATGGACTACATATGCTGGCTATAATTGTGTAGTTATGCACAGTTGTAGTATGCTGTTTGTGAACCTTAACCGTGATGTCACATAAACCAGGCTATTGTATGTGCAGAGTTTAAAATAAACATATACAAAACAAGTACACGTGTATGTGGGGTTTTTTTCCAGCAGTACGGACCACACCAATTGAGCTTGGGTCTTTGCTTCACGAAAAATTACTGGATAGAGTATTGCTTTTCGCATTGGCAACCCAATAGCATTTGTTTAACAGGTCCTGACTACCGATGAGACCCAGAAACTCAAAACCTGTCCAGAGTATATAGTACTTGCTTCAACAAATGTGTTTGGAAAAGTAATATTCCCAGTTATTTACCCAGCAAATGCTCCACTGACTTCATGTCGCTTCTTTTATAAGGAGGTCCCTGCCAAGTTTTCTCAGTAGCTGGAGCAATGATTGACAATTACACTCCCAATGGGAGTAATTCGCGGGTAACTTTTCAAATGTGTAAACTGTTGTAACCATGACGCCGACACACAATGGCCTAACTCTTCGAATGAGATGACAGAATGCTTTAATTTCCTCTGCAAAGCAGACAGCGCGTACGTAATTGTTACTACAGCCGCAGTAGTAACCAGGGCGTCCGCGAGATTCAAACTGCGGACTAAAAATATCGTAATCTGTCATGAGGTAATACAGAACGGATACCTGTTTATTTGCTGCAAGCCTGTAACTAAATATATCGCAGTCACCACATCCAGCACTGTTGCTTTAGCGATGAAGGGGAAAACAATGGTTATTGTATTACATGAGACTAAAACAAGCCAATGGCATGTAAGAGACCCGTCTTATTTATTAGACCAGCAGTACCCCGCGTATTTGCAGGGATATTGAAAGTCATGAGATGCAAACGACGGACTCCAGCCTCACCTACGTTTAGGCCGCGACTCAACATAAACGCCAAACATCAACCTGAAACGCGCGTTAAATAACGGGGCATGAATGCAAAAAAAAATATTCATGCACAGTCGGGGGGGGGGGGGGGCGAATCATACGGAGTGCGTAGCAGACACGAAAAGGCGTTTGCCTGCCAAATGTGGACTGTTCCAACTGAGCCCGAGCGCCGGGGGGTGGCGGGGATAGCCCCTAGGGCATCTTCTACTCGTTGGCTAAGATTGCCGATTGCAAGCACGTTCATAGTTCATAGTTCATTTATTTTGGTATAGCCCTGTGAGCCATTCGGCTCTTGAATCGGGTGCAACCGCAACAAACAAAAAACATGAACAAGAAAAACATCTTAAAGTGATTATGTGACTGTGCAAACAGAAAATCCAGGAAAAAAACAGCAAAATATTCCTGAAATAGCACCGTACACCAACGCTGTGTGCAAAAATCCCAGTGGGATGCAAGTCAAACAACAACAACAACCACAAGACAACTAAGATTAAGGCCATCAGTCTACTAACTCCGTACTACAATAAACAAAAACATGGCCAAAACCCAAAAAAACTTTTCGAAATCACCAAAATAAAAGCCATAAATGCAATGTGCATAAACACCGACGGCTTGGTATTCGCGTAACTCTCAAACGTTGCACGGTTATTGCTCTCATCAAGTGCGTTCAACAACGGCACATGGACTCTTGACGTCCACGATAGTGGTCCGTTCGCAAGAGGTATAGGCCATCGTTGATGTTGCCTGCATCTTGGTTCCAAATATTTAGCTAATGTAATTAAAAATGTTTGAAATTACTCGCGAATTTACTCCAATTGTGAGTGGGCAAAGAAATCATCGCTCCCTACTGCGATAACCTGGCAGGACCCTTCTGAAAAGAGTCAGTGAGGCTTTCCTGGGTGTAATGATAACAATGGAGTTCATTTCCATTCACATTTGTTTGAACTCTGAACTGGTTTCGACTTTGTGGGTCTCAGCAGTCAGCCCGTTAATGCTATCGACTTCCTGAACAGGTTTACCATTTCATTCATTGAATGAATGGTTGCAAAAAGCGATCCATTATTCTACATCCGGCAATATTTAGTTTCCATGAAGCAAAAAGCCTCAGCTTTATCGTTGTGTTCCATACTGGTGGTAATAAAGCACAAATTACTTGTACAGTACGTGTTTATTTAAAAGTTTGCACATACATAGCCTGGTTTATGTGACATTGCGGTTAAATGTTTACAAACACTGCATTGCACTACACTGCCCATACGTACATCCACAATTATAGTCAACACATGGCAATCCATTTGTTTAAATTGTGCATTGTAGGTACATTCACTTTTGGTTTACTTGTGAATTGTAACTTGATCACCATCATCAATTGGTACGGTAGGGGGGGGGAGTCAGATTTGTATAGAACAATCTTTCTAGTCGTTGACATTTAAGAATACTGTAAAAATGTTTTCCATAACAAAGGGGTTTTTTGGGGGGTTAGATCGCGTAAATATAAATGTGTCGTAAAACCCGCCACCACCCGACACAGCCAACTAGTAAGATTTACCTGACAGGTATGTAGTGTATAGTGTAGTATATAGTAGCGTAGTGTATAGTAGCGTAGTGTATAGTAGCAATCCTGTCATCACATATGGTTTACCCTGTATTCCTGTACAGGGAAATTGGGTTCTGATGTCCATACGGGGTACAGCCGTTTCAATATGGGCATTTTTTTTTATAAGTGTGTTTCTCCCTTGTGATTGGACTTTGTATGATGAACGTTGAGATGTTTAAAGGCACGGGGTGGCCTGTAATAAGGTAGGGGCACTGATACGGGATTGACAGGTATAGGTTTGCCACGTAAACAAAACGTGCCAATTAGTTTGGCGTCATCTGGTCTAGCACCACATGAGACTAGGCTCTAAAGAAAGCTGTCTCTGGTGTGGACCAATCAGTTTCAAGGACCATGCATATATTATCAAAGTGTGTTTTCTGTTTGCATTTTGACTGCAAGTATTGTGGTCAATGCAGACATGAATCCTTGTAAAACAAGGTGTCAGTTTTGTTGCCAGAAAAAAAAGGGGAAAACCCTATTATAGTTTTACGACTCCAGCACACCGGTGTGTGTTGGAGAGTAAACCCACTACAACATTTTACAATTTGAGCACTGCGGCGTTTACGCTGGTGATTACAACAACCAGCTTCATCAGGCGATTTGCCAGAATTGAGAAGACGTATTCCTTCTTTCGATCTTATTAAATAGAGGAGTAAAGGTGATGTCATCATCACTGTGATCCTATCAGGTACGAAGGCCATATGGGCGGTGACCAGAAAACATTCATGGATAATATTGGTCGCGAACGCCTCCGCGTGAAACTGTGATAATGTTTGACACAATGTGTACAATTAATGGGTTTCTGTCTGTCCATACTGGCGCGCTAATCTAACGCTAACATCTCGCCACGGTGGCTAGATGTTAACTACATTGCTTGGTATACAGGAGGTCGTGGGTTCGATTCCGACCCTGATGACGCCTGCTGCTGTATATGTGGAGTTTGTGTCTCTCTCATCATCATCACGGTGGTTAGATGTTAACTACCTTGCTTGGTATACAGGAGTTCGTGGGTTCGATCTCAACCCTGACGAAGCCTGCTGTGTATTTTGAGTTTGTGTGTCTCGCTCATCATCATCACGGTGGCTAGATGTTAACTACCTTGCTTGGTATACAGGAGGTCGTGGGTTCGATCCCTACCCTGACGAAGCCTGCTGTGTACTTTGTTTGTGTGTCTCTCATCATCATCATCACGGTGACCTGGATATGTCAACTACCTCGCCTGGTATACAGGAGGTCGTGGGTTCCATCTCAACCCTGACAATGCCTGCTGCTGTATATGTGGAGTTTGTGTGTCTCATCATCATCACGGTGGCTAGATGTTAACTACATTGCTTGGTATACAGGAAGTCGTGGGTTCGATCCCGACCCTGACGATGCCTGCTGCTGTATTTGTGGAGTTTGTGTGTCTCATCATCATCCCGGTGGCTAGATGTTAACTACCTCGCCTGGTCTACAGGAAGTCGTGGGTTCGATCTCATGCCTGCTGCTGTGTATGTGGAGTTTGCGTGTCTCTCTCATCATCATCATCATTGTGGCTAGGAGATGTTAACTACCTCGCCTGGTATACAGGAAGTCGTGGGTTCGATCTCATGCCTGCTGCTGTGTATGTGGAGTTTGTGTCTCTCTCTCATCATCATCACGGTGGCTAGATGTTAACTACCTCGCCTGGTATACAGGAAGTCGTGGGTTCGATCTCATGCCTGCTGCTGTGTATGTGGAGTTTGCGTGTCTCTCTCTCCCCGTGGTTGCGTGGATTTTTCTGGGGGTCCTTCGGTTTTTTTTTCTTACGGGGAAAAATGTCCACATGATGATAAGCCACTTCCGTTGAATTTATTATTTAGTGGCCAGGTCAGCTTCTGCAAAAAAAGAGAGCCGCATAGCTCGGCGGGGGCTTTACCTGGTAAAATAAAAAAAATAGTTGAAATGTTTTCAAAAATGAAACTCCCACACCTCCCCCCTCCACCACCCCCCTATTTTTTTAAAGGAAGTGAACATGGTACATCCCGAGTAACGCACCGGAGGAGCGCGCAGCCGTGTCCAGCTGCCCTTTGATATTTTCAACCGAGCACCCAGGAAGCAGTGAACAAGAAGACGAGGAGGAGGAACAAGAATACGAAGAGGAGGAGGAACAAGAAGACGAAGAGGAGGAACAAGAAGAAGACGAGAAGGAGGAACAAGAAGAGCAATCCACATGGCTGGCCGCTCGAGCACCACGGGGCTGCTGGCGCTGCACGCAGCCGCCACGGCGTGGTACGGCACCACCGTGAGCCTCCACGTGGACAACACCGCCACGCTGCCCGGCTCGCTGAGCTACGGAGGCCACTGGAAGTACCTGACCTTCATCGACTTGGTGAGCGTGTGCGTGTCGGTGTCCCGGGCCTCCCGTGGGTCGACTGAGCCTCAAATGAGTACACATTGCGGTGTGCGAAACATTGCCACTTGGGAGACAAAGGCGGCCGGGCGTGGTGCTGTGCCGGCCACGATCCGAGTTCAAGGCCACCGACGCCCAGTGACGATTATCCGAACCGGTCCTGGGCCTCCCCTAGGTCGGCTCGGCCTCAAATGAGTACCTGGTGCGGCGTGTGCAATTATCGCTACGGGGGGAGACAAAGGCGGCCGGGCGTGGTTCTGGCCACCCCCACGTGTACCGTGTCGGCCTTGATAATAGGTGCTCGCTAACATCAATTGCTCCCGGCATTCTGTTAAGGTTACATTAACAGTAGGGAGCACAGATGGGGCATCTGGCCAGTTACCAAGCCACGGGCACCTACCTGGCTCTCTATCCCGTGACACCCCACCCTCCCTTCCACACTTCACGTGGCCTCAAAGTGCACCTAGCCTGGCACGAGCGCCGCTGTGAGAACGTTACCGCCACTTAGTGTGGGTCGAATGGGGGCGGCGGTATATAAGCCAGCCTCTGCCTCCCCTATTCATAGAGCAGTACACAAGCTTATAATCATAGCTGTAAAACCCCCTTTGATGCCTTCAAAGGGTATATTAATTCGCGGTTATATTCGAAATCAGTATGATTATACAGTACCTGTCAACGCCTTATCAGTGCCCTAACTTGTGACAGGCCAATTCAAACCTCGTTAATCACCCCGTGCCCTTATAAATCTCAACGTTCATCCTTATACAAAGTGCAATCACAAGGGAGAAACACAAAGAAATGTTCTTTGGGTCTTTAGGTAAAGTCACGTCGATAGGTACAAATTAAAAAAAGATATAAAGTAAACATAAATGTTTTTGCCCGTATTGAAACGGCTGTACGCCGTATGGATCTTTATGGGTTGACAGGTATGAAGTCGAAACTAATTGGCTCGTTTTGTTTTCGTGACAATGCTTACTAATTGGCTGTGTATTATCTGTATTTTGATTTAGCGTGCTGATCTTAAAGGTGCATTAAAAAATGTGATACTCCGACTGATGTTTCTGTTGTTGTGGAGTGACTCATGCAGTCAGCTATGGCTCTAGGGTTTGGTGTTGTTAAAAATTCGGTCACAGTCCCTA